TTCCACGCTAAAGAACTTATCAGCATTCAAAACGTTGACTTTGATGAATGGACATAAATAGCCTAGACTGCGCTTGTCGCACTCACCATAATGAAACACGTCCATCCACAAGTTTCTCAGTTCTGGACTGGCAGCTTTTAACATGTACACTTGCATCCACGTCTCCACGCGAAATACCAGATGATCCAATTCCTCCGTCTGACGTAGATTGTTGCCACTCTCGGAATATTTCTGAGATTCCTGGACCCAGTCGGCAGTTCGTGCTTTGTACTTGTAAAATGGCTTGTTCAAACGTGACTGTTTGCCTCGCCGGGGNCGGGGTGAATCACAAGTTCCTTCCGGATCGGATTGATGCTGTGTGGGGATATCCTCGGTGAGACTGGCCGGCAGATCAGAGTTCGGACTGAGTCCGGGTTGAACTTGTCGAATTTCGGCAAATCGAAAACTGCCTGAACAATGGAAGAATAAAAATCGTTTTTTTTCAATGACCCCGTTTGAATTTATGATATCTCGAGTCATGTGACACCATCCGTGTCGGTATTAGTCAGCGAAATTTTGTGATCGATTGCTTTAGGTACGAATTGCAATGGATTCACTATGGTGGCTTGGTGGTATGTTCATTCAGTGTGACTGAAATGAAATTGGTACACGTTTGATCCGAAACAATTTTAAAGTAATGATCAGCCACCCCAGTCAACTTGATTACGTAACAAATTCTAATGGTTGTGGAATTCCTAAATCTTACTGGATATTTTGCCAGAGTATGCACTTAAAAATGTTTTCGAACATTCTACTATTCAAATAACATGTATAGCACTAATTGCGAACAAAAACGTTGTAAGAATTGCCTTAATTGGATCCGGTTACTATGCCTTGTTTTGCGCAAGTATTGATCGAACTCACGAGACACCAGTAATTGCATTTGACTTCCTACTCTTAGTGCGGACCATTTTAAGCCCCATGAACGAGAACAAATATATTACTGTCCCTTGCGTATCATGGCTTCTGCCAGTCGTCTGTCTTATAAGAGTACGAATTCCTGATTTCAACGACGGTCGAAAGCGCATCAGTTGTAACATGTGCCAAATTCAATTTAGAAAGAAACAACGAAAATGTATATACGAAAATGAGGGACAAAAATGAAACAGATAATGTCATTCTATTTTATTAATGCTCCCTGCAATCACTGATAACGTGATTCAGTTGTTTTTACATCGAATCTACCAAAAACGGTTATTTCATCAAATTAGTTGATGTTAGACAGACTTTGCTCTACCATAACCTTCAACAATGATTCCCACTGTAGCTCACACATCTATCTGCAACAAAAAAATGTTTTCAGTTACCTTCAAACCGGAATGTTTGATCACTGAAAAAATTAAATTTTACACTGTCCCAATCAAAGATTAACCAAATTATGAGAAAATAATATATATATTTATATAATATAGTTGAAGTTATTTCACTGGCAAATCTTGAATGAGCGTTAACCTGGAAAATTACCACTTTTCCAAATGCGTTCCTTGAAGTGAAACTCGATTATTACCTACTAGAATACTAAAAAGACTTGAACATTTTTTTAGTGTGCCAAGCACCGGACCCAAGGAAAAGGGTTCCGCAGTATTCAGTTCGCAACCAGGTCATCAAGTGAGAGAAATATTTGCTTGAGAAATAAGGTTTACAGTTGGTAATCCTCCGCCTCGTTTCTGGCCCATCTGTGATCAGGCGTTCGTGAGTGAAATAAAACAAACGCCAAAGCCGATGGGTCACGTGATTTAAATTGTTTATCAAAATCAATAAGTACTGTTCTTTGTTTGACATTCAATGATGACTTTCCGTGAGCCCGTCCCAGCTGCATTTCATATTCAGCCATCCTTTTGTAAACCGTGGAGTACAAGTTGTTGCCAATCTGTCCGAACCATACACAATATTGGTTGTTCACAGATTTAAAAATTAAAGCTGAAAGCTTATAAGATGGCCGTCTTGCTTTGAAATTGTTTTTTCTCTCTCTCCACACAGCCATTTTTTGGGGGAATTTTAGGTGATTATGCAATGCATTTGCATACATTTACGCAAAAGCAATTTCTATCGAAAGCCACTAAGATGGCATATTTAAGAGCATCTCTGAAGCACTTTTCCTTTGTTTTAACTTTATGTCACAAGCGAACGGGCCTTTTATTCAGTTTGGGCATATCGAAATTAAAAAAACCATATTCAATGAGCTACGCACCTCAATCCAATTTTCGATTATTTTCATTTATGGTTTTAGTTTATCGATGATAATTTTTTGAATTTATATTTTTGAATTCATTATTGATACTTAATTATCATTTTTCGGAGACTTTGGTTAGCATCAGAAGCGAAAGTCAGACATTCGCTTCATAACCTTAGCGTCTTTGGAATAATATACAAATAAATTTACATACGAACGAATGAATGAGTTCTTGATTATTAGGACCTTCTCTTCCAGGGCACGTGAGGGCAGCTTATCAGTACAAAATCCGGTTAATAATCAAGTGTTTAAAGGGGATGGCCTGGTTGTGACGTCACCAAATTATCACCCAGGGGATGTGTTCGAATCTCACCAGCACCGTCTGACTTCCCCATTGTATGTTGAATGGCAGCTCTTTGACCGGCCGCTTCCCCCTTCCGGAAAATTGTATGAATGCGTATTTAATAAAAGAGAGTAATATGAAAAGAAAAAAATGATTGATATTAGACCCTCTACCATTACTTCCGTTTAAATGAGTCCTAGCAGAAATTGAAAGCTCATTATCATTCATCTTGACTGATGGTATGAATGTGGTTAAATCCAGTGGAAGAGCAGACCATCTTATCATCTGCTGTGCGGTTGATCAGTTTGTGCGCTCTCGGTTTTAGTGGAATTGGTCTGCCAATTCTCATCGTACAACATCCAGTTGACATTCATTCGACTCAGTTTTGTGGGCTCCGTCTTGTGATACTAATCTTTTGAATATATACACGAGGTGTGACACTGTCCTGCGTTCGGTTGCCCAAACCGAACTTTCTGTGCTATTCAAACGCGCAAAGGTGATTTATTCTATGCGCAGTGCAACAATTGTGGTACCATTTTGAAGACAACTCAACGTTCCAGCCAACGAGCTTCTGTGTACTTTTCGTTATGCATTTCCAAGAGAGCTACGGATTTATTTGTTCAATTCAGTTCTGTGCCATTTACGATCACTCCTGCATGTGTGTCCGTCTCTCCAACGCAGCAGTCACGACGATCGATACGCGCTGACTACACACCTCACTTGATTGACCCGGTCATATCGAATTCACTCCATTTGACGTTTAGCAACTGTTCCTCATCTAGCTGTTCGAAATGGAACGACGGAGTACACCAACAAATGACACACAATTGGTCACACAGGTTTTCGGAGTCTGTGGTTCGACAGGCTACGGCAAAGATATCAAGGCAGGATCTTCATGCTCCTGTTGTCGGAAATATTTTCACCCCTCATGCGCGAAACTATCGAGCAAGCAAGCAAAACAGATGGCTGCACAACCAGATTGTTTTTGGTTTTTTACGGATTGTTTGATTACCCCTGTTATCAAATGTATGATAAGCATCTCGAACAGATATGAGAAATTATTCTTGGCTGATAAGGAAAAGGCAAACACTAAAATCTCAGCACTGGAAGATAGGATAGCTTCCCTGAAGTCCCAATCACTCCTTGTGAGCCCAATCCAGCGGCCGACAAAGCGTCTTAGGTTTTCCCATAGTAGCTCTGATCCATTGCACCTGATACGTTCTGCCGAAATTAGTAAGGTGCCGAAAACAATGAGAAACACAAGAGTTGTCCCATAGTTGGAGAACCACTCAATGCAGCTGACACCTGCTCATAATACGGAGACAATAATATCGGACTGAATTTCAGGCTCTGGGAGTCAAATTGAGTCCAAAGTTTCTACACCGCAGGTAAATCATACATTAAAAAAAATACAAGCTGACTATTGATCATACCGCCCTGACGGTTTTCTGTACTAATGTACCAGAGGCGACAGCAACTTCACTGAGGGAAAGACAAGTGAAAGAGCTTGGTCACTGGACTGCATTATCCACTCAAATGAACATTGACGTCCACCCAATGAGCGTCGTACGTCTCTTTCGTCAACCGTCCTCATCTCACGCCGGGGAACCCGGACTACTTCACGTTACTTTGAAGGATGAGAAAGACGTCGAGAACGTTCTTCTTTCTAGTTACCTTGGCAAAGTTTGGAGTCGTATAAGAATACTTCCTGATCGACCGTGGACCGAACGTGTGCGCCATCGCACGAACCCAATGGATGCACGCGAGGCGGAGAATAAACAAGTTGTATTGATTCACGGAGTCCCGAAATTAAACGATCCAGATGAATCTGTCAACATAACGATTGTAAAGAGTGGAGGTTTATTCAAGAGTTGATTGGATGCCATAATATTTTCACCACCTCAGTCAACCGACTTCCGTGATCAGCAAACTACCGTGGAAACGGCCCGAGGATTTTGAAAGTAACCTTCAGTACCCCGGAAATGGTCACATCGGTCTTGCAGGCATGGTATCAAAACCGAAGACTAAGAAAACCAGAATTACGGCACAGACCACTGTCGAATAGTGAGGTAAAACGATGTCCGCAGTTAGAACACCAAACTCCACTTCCCTCTACTTCTTCGGGGGCCCATAGCAGCAGAACCGGTTTCCCAAAAAACTACTGCCAGCCGACCAAAGAGTGATCGGCATAAATAACGATTCGAAACCCAACGGATTTCTAAACAGACGCTCCCTAGCTTGCTTTTACACAAACGCACAAGGCTTCCTTAGCAAACTCTCTGAGGTTCAAATGCGCTTGCAAACCGGTCAGTGGGATCTTGCTGCCATTACTGAAACTTGGTGGACTGCCGATATTCTCGATTCTGAATTGCGCCTACCCGAAATGTCGCTGCTGAGGCGTGATCGTTCTACACGAGGTGGCGGTGTGCTGTTATATATGTCCGCAGCAACCTTCAATCTGAACCACTCGATCTCTTCGATGCAGCTCCGGACACACTTTGGTGCAAAATGAGGCTGTCTAAAGATAACAGTTGTTTGGTCGGTGTGATCTAAGGACTTAGCTTACGAGGTACTCCTGCAGATTATGAGAAACATTGTTTCAGTGAAGTTTACTTATGTTCTCATAATGGGAGACTTCAATTGTCCCAATTTTATAAAACGCCAGAACTATCACCACCCTTTCGAGCGAAAATTATCACAGCTTATAGACTCACATTCGACGTATAATCGCGTGAAGAATCCCACCAGATTTGGAACAGGCCACCAACCATCATCATTGGACTTGGTATTGACAAGCGAGGAGCTTATGGTCGAATCGGTCGAAATAATGTCTCCATTAGGACGAAGCGACCATGCAGTTCTGCTGTTTGATTACGTTTACCACGCCTCAATAGAAATATGCCTGGAAACCAACACACGCACCGTTATCGACTACAATGAATTGCTGAACCTTGTTACTGTCAAACAATAGACACAACCAGAAGAGCAGCTGGATCCACTGGAGTCCTGGAAAAGATTAATTGAAAAACTAACAGAGCTCATAACCCTCGCCACAAAAACCAAGCCTGTCGGTACGTCGCCTACACGATTATCACCCATCCGTAGTTGAACCAAGAAATGGATGTCACAAAGGAATTTCTCCTGGCGAGAGTTCAGAAGATGCCCGACCGCCAACACTAGGGATAATTATATCATGTTGAGAAACATTTGTGTAGAATTAGTGCGATAGGATAAACGGAGATTTCAAAAAACTCTGGCACATAAATTTATTTTCAATTCAAAGCTACTGTATAAGCATATCAATGCTACCAGAAAAGTGAAATATGGAATACCGGCACCAAAACATGCAGGACGCATTTCCCTTTACTACTGCTGACGCAGCCGAATTCCCAAAAGTCCAGTTCTACGAAGTATTCACTGCAAGTAACAAAGGCGAATTACAACTTCCACATCTTCTATCAAGTGTCCCATACCCCCAACTAACCACCGTCACGTTCAAATCTGAAATGGTTAAAAACAAACTATTGGTGCTGCGCCGGAATTCATCTCCAGGGAAAGGCAACATCCGGCCACAGACCCTGACGTCCTTGGCAAATTACATATCTGAAATTGCCTATTTATGCCAAAGAATGTTCGACAAGATGAAGATCCCTCAATCTTGAAAAAACGGCATCGTTTGGTCTATTTACAAAGGTGGCTATAGAAGTGATCCTGTGAACTGCCGTCCAGTTACACTTCTTCCTGTTCTGTCAAAAGTAATGGAATCGATTATTGCTGATTATGTGATAAATCATTTCGAAAAGTATAATATGCTTCCGCCGGCCCAAAACGTGTTTCGAAGGAAACGCTCGTGCACCACAAACCTGCCACTTGCACGAGATGAATGGACAAGATCAGTCGACGCAGGAGAGACAGTAGACGTAGTCTACTTAGACTTCTCCAAAGCTTTTGACAGGGCTAACCGCCACATATTGCTGCGAAAGCTCCATAATTACGGTGTCCGAGGACCGCTACTGGACTGGATTGAGGAACTTCTTCGAAGACGTACCGAGTTAATGGTTCTCTGTCGGGACCGATCGAGGCTGTCCGTGGAATTCCACAAGAATCCGTACTCGGTCCGTACCTCTTTCTAGCATTCATAAACGACTACCAGATATCCTTGGAGGAAAGTGTGGTGATCCAGGCCTACGTGATGACGCCTACCCTGGAGCGGCGCGTTACAGTTTCTGGGCATTTGCGATCAATCAAATTTGAAAGATGACGTCAGTGACACGCGCAGGGCTTCTGATTACACGTCATTGGTGGATCGTGCCAGCCAATTCGAGGCAGTGCAGACAGAAGCAGAATTATGCAAGCAGTATTGCAATTCAATTGGTGGAAGCCTAGATAACCAATAACCTTCTTTCGTATATAGTATTTGATCGCCTTCATTTCTTCCAGTAAACTAACTACATAATACTATTCCTCTGGCCTTTTACTCGCGTTTTGTTCACGTGGGATATTGCGAGCTCGTGCCATTGCGATCCAGTGCTTCCGTAATCCAGTCCATGACAGCTGATCCTTGATACGTGTCCGGTGATTCATATTGCATGGCTTGCATTCCGAATTCCGTGCGTATTACTACTACTACTACCAATAATAATAATAAAATCATTACAAAAAGTTATTATTATTAGCTGATGACGCTAAAACATGGAAGACGGTAAAATATCCTGAAGATTATGAAACCCTGCAGGGAACTTTCGACGTAGCTTATCGATGGTCCATCATTAATGAGATCGAATTCAACGTTGAAAAAATGCTAGGTTTTATCACTGCACCACAGGGGTCGCTTTCCATACTTACTTGGAACTCAGCCATTACCGCGCTCTCCAAACTAAAAGGACCTGGTAGTTATCGTTCATGAGGATCTAGGATGTTCCACACATTGCGCAAGAGCGTCTTCAAAGGCTATAAAACACGTTGGATTGCTAAGAAATGCTTTTGACCATTCGAAACATACCTATTCAACCGTTGATTATCAGCAGACATTAGACCACACACCATACAGGCTTGGAATCCATGGCTGATTCGCAACCAAAAGGCACTCGATCGTCCGCAGAGAACAGCAACCAAAATGTTCAAAGGGTTACAATCTAAGAACTACGGTGAAAGGCTGCGAATTATCGGACTCTATTCGTCTGAATACCGTCGAATACGGGGAAACATGACCTCGTATATCAAATACTATATCAACGTAACCACCCGTGTAGTACTGTACTAACGCTATCCAGGAATAGTCACCTCCGGGGACATCCGTTTAAACTTCTGCTCCAGAAGGGCCGGCGCGACTGCAGGTGTCATTCTTTCAGCCTCAGAGTTTTTAACACCTGGAACTCTCTCTCCCACCTCAAGTTGTTTGTGTATGAACATTGTGCATCAGCATTGAACAACCTAACTAGTCAGTACCCGTGAGTGAACGTCAGAATTTGCTATTCAATTGTACTTCTTACCAAACCCAGTTTGTGTACAGATCCTATGGGATTCAATAAGACTCAGCTATGTGATTTACTTATAATAAAAATCTGAATTTGAATTAGATCGAGCACATGCTGTCCGGTATCTAGTAAACAGATCTCATACAGGGGATCTATCAGTCAGTGAAAAGTGAAAAGTCATCTGGATGGAATTGATTGAAATCTGACAGTGGGGCAAAGGGGCCTTGTTAACAAGGCTAGGGTTCCGAGTATGACGGTGATTCGGGTACCCGATGTGAAAAAACAGCTCACATAGGTAGTAAAGCAACAAAAGTATTTAAGATGTTTTTTCTACAGCAGTCGTCCGGCCTCATTTGGAGTACTGGTTTCACTTTGAGTCGCTATTCAAAAAAAGGGAAACACAGATTGGTTGGAAAATTTTCCTTGACTGGCGACAAGAATACCTGAGAGACTACAGGACTGGTCTCACAGAGGAAAGCGAGGCAAACTTGAAATTTATTCACTAGAAAAGATGAACATTCCCGGGGTCTTTTCAAAGACTTCAGGATTAAGAAAGAACCATCGGATTTTGATCCTTCTGCAACCCTGCATGTGTTTAGTTAAATCATCTCGAGTTTAAGAATTAACATCAATTTAAAGCGATCAATCTGTCAATCCACATGATAGGCATTTGAGAAAGCAATTCAAACCGAAATCAAACATATCGATCAATGATCAGTGCCAGTGGTCTATGGGTTTTTTGAAAAATAATAAATGCGCTCATTGCTTCGTGCCCATCGAAATAGTTAACTGTACCATAAATCTATTAGGCCACTTATTATTCAGTGCTGGTTTTTCAACCAAGTCTTCACAAAAGTTCGCGGGTTGAAAATTCACTCATCTTGCGATAGAAGTAACAGAAATGACAATCATGCTTGAAAATCCGATAGTCATATTAAAACTGAGGAACAGACTGTCTTCGAGCATAAATCCATTGCGTTTTCATCCGTTAGGATACGTGCGAAATATTAGCGAAACTATTCTGCCCTGCACTGAAACAAACAAGGGCGCCTGCAAACGTTCTAACCAAACCGAGTTGTTAACCGTATCACATCGAATGGTGACCGGACTATTTCGCAATCTTGTTGAATAGCTTCAGGAAGTTATGGGTCACTTGAGTTCCACTATTAGTTTGCACTGCCATTAAGCTTATTCATGATGTAACGTTTATCTGGAGAATACATCGAATCCGGTAATACTAACAATTTGGTCCTGGGCTGCACCCTCAGAGGCAGCAACCCCACCCTAGTGTGGTGATGCCAGCCTGCGAGATGACGCATACCCTGGAGCGACGCGTTACAGTTTTCGGACAACTGTGATCAATCAAGCTTAGCGGGTGACGTCAGCAAAGTGCGTGTGTGCCACAGCTTCTGGACTACATGCCGTAGGTCGATTGTACCAGGCAATCAGAAACTGTGCGGCCCAGAAAGAAGCTGGACAATGCTAGAAATACTAGCACGCGATTGGTAGAAGCTTGGACGACAATGAACTTGTTTTGTATTATGTAATCTCTATGATTTCTTTCAATAAACAAACTACTATCCCTACTACTGCTTCTGTGGCCTTTTCCTCGCGTCTCGGTTACATGGGATATTGCGTGCAAGTACCTGGGTGGTTTAGTGACGTCCGTGATTGCTAATCAGTGAATCGTATTCCGAGTTCAGTGCGTATTACTACACTTACTACAAATACTACAAATACTTCACCCAGCTTCAACTCACCTTTGATTCGTTCCATTTTATTCGGATCTTGATAGGTAACCAACTGACCGGGGATATCGCATACGAACCAGTGACGTGACCATTGACACTGTTTCCATTTTCGTGAGATACGAATCTGCGAAGTGCTCGGGGAATTACGGCCGGATATGGCTCCTCCTGCGGACCCTCCGTCGGACCAACCACGATAATTTATCCGTAGACTGTGCCACGGATGGGATTTCTGGGCGGACTGTTGCGATTGTTGCAAAGTGTGTTGATTTCGAATCCACAGAAATCCTTCACATCGAGTCTCGTTCAACCGAACACGCAGTTCTCCGGTCCACCGCCAGTACGGGGTGTTCAAGGCCATACCATCCTTTTCGTCCAGACTGTGATGACGCGGTTTGCCTCGACTACCCACTGGCATGCCGGCACGAAACCATCGAGCCACTTTTGAATTGAAACATGAGATGGACGGTGTGGTAATTCGGGACCACATGGGGTCGTTCAGACTGGGCATTTCGCATGAAAGCTCTTTGGTATCATGTCCCATTGCGTCCAGATATTCGAGAATAGTAGTGATTGGTTTGTTGTGAATCGGTGCAGATAGTTCCAATTTTTGCGATGTTTTATGCTGTGCAAATTATGAACGCAAGATGAATGAGATTATTGGAACTGTATATTGTTTCGAAACTTGAAACATTGGGCTCGATCTTATCCAATTCGTTAGAACAGAGAGAAGACAGATACCGTGAGATGTTAACATTTCTTTTAATCTCTTCAATCGCTGCAAAATAAATCAATCTGGTATTTATACAAGCAAGTTTTGATAACTACAGTGTTAAAACAGACAATAGCCAGGGAAGCGAGGAAGAGGGTGGGGTGGGAAATCAGTTCCGAGGCAGTCTGACTGATCGTGCAAGAAACGATTGTGTCCAGCAGATTGGGTTACGTAACTTGATTAGCATCGCCTCGCTAAACACCAAGATCCTGGGATTCATGTTCCATAATAATGGCGGAACGACAAAGGTGGGTCAACGATGTGACCAGTTGTCATGAGATGTCTTGCGATTGATGACTCTGGATTTCTCTTATCAGACTGATCTCTAAGACTGTGTTGTGTCATTAATTGTACCAAGCACTTGGGAATGTGTTCAGACATTCTTTGTGTTAGGGGCCGATTCGTTCTGCCGATATGTGTCACCACAATTGCAGGTGAATGGGTAGAAGACATGTGAAACAGATTTGTGCGGCTGGTTCTGTTTTCGATTGTCCAAACGAATTTATCGTGTATTTGGTATCAATCGAAGCTGTGCAGCAGGAATAGTTTGACATGACGCCTCCTTGAGCTTTTGACGCACGTCGTTCATTATATGATCACTCTTGAGGGCCAGCCTGAGGAAGACAACCAGCTTCGGTATTTCGCAGGCGGGATCAACCGGTGACCTTGGTCTGCTATGCACATCAATAAATTTCTCTGGACTCCAGAAAGGTTGTAAATGGATGGGGTACTGAGATGTCACGGGCTTGTCTAGACATGCCATGTGGACGATTCCAAACAAGCTGGATGAAACAGCTGCTTCTAGATCTTCTCGATATACGTGTGTGTAGCACACAACTATCAGATGATTATTTGTATTATGAAAAAATGCTAAATCAGTGTGCAACTTTTGGACAGTGAATGAAAGCCGTACTCGGTCAGGGATATGGTACAGGCATTAAGGATAAAGGAACTCCCTGCTGTCGAATACTTACCGCTGGGGTTGCCGAGCTTGCATCATCAAAGCCACCGTTCGAGTGGGTGTTTGCTCGACCGGATGTGCTGAGTTCAATCACAGTGTCTGGGGTTTTGGTCGTGAAAGTGGACGAGGTCTGCGTCACGGCCCGTGTCACACTGGACTCGATGGAACTGTATCGCTTCCCATTCTTTCGCAACTGTTGATTCGATCCGCGGTTCTGCGACGTTCTGCGCGCATTCGCTTTGTCCGATCCGAACAGATTGACATAGTATGGTGGTGGTGGAGGTCTTTGTGCACCACTGCCGTCTATCAGGGATGTGCGAGGATCCTGAGTGT